CTGACTTCTCTTTATCTTTCTTTTGAAGAGGTCGCTGTTCCTGCACATATTCCAACTCTTCTGTAAGTAGTAATCCACTCCTGTCCTCTCCTATCTTGGGGTTTGAGACTTCAGCTGATTTCTCTTTATCCATCTTTTGAAGAGGCATTTTCTCACTGGACATTCCTGTAACTGAATTGTTCTTGGCTGTAAATAGAGAGAAAACTTTAACAAGTGTAATTAAGAGATACAGGTTAATTCACTTACAATTGCTTCCTTAATAACTTTAAAAAGTTACTACAGACCTCCACAGAACTATTTAAAACTTGTTTTCACTTAGGACAGCCATACCTTTGGTATGGTCATGTGATCAAATTTGGGCACTTGGCAACTGGCTCACCTTTACTGCTGTGTGTAATGTCTCAGTCACATGACCATAATTTGCAACTTATTTGGCAATTTCCAGCATTTACTTCCAGTTTTTGGCACAAAAAGGCCATTGAGGAAGTGGATTTTCTTAAAAACCAATGTATTCGCTCAACAACTGCCACAATAATTGCCACAAAAATTGGGTCTGGTCATGTGTTGTCTTAACTTAGGACCACAACAAACTATCACCATAACTCCAAGCTCAATTAGAGTCATAAGTCAAGGACTAGCTGTACAGTACCCCTCCCTTTTGTATCCTAGCTTTTTCACTGGCTTTGCTTTGTCCCTGCACTTCATCACTGCCATTAAATCTTTCATTTTTTTAGATGTGAAAGGTTACCTTTACATATACAGCATACTATTCCAGCTCCAAGGATAAATCCACACACAAGTGCAAGAATGACTCCCAACGTCCAAGGAACCACTGGAATTGATGGAATTGTAGGAGTAACTGTGGGCCGAGAAGGTGAGAGAAAAAATGTACTCCTAGTATTTTGGGTAACTGGGAGACTTGGAGGAATAATCACATCTCCCTCACCTTCTGGCCGCCAATGGACAGACTGTTCCAATGGGGTCTCCAAAGCTTCATGTTCTACTCGACAAACATAAGTGACTTCAACATCATTCTTCTGTGGGAAGAAGACACTGTTGATGGAAAACATCATGTTCTGCATGCAGTGGACCTCCGACTTTATTTGCTCTTGTGGCACTCCGTTTTGCAACCACTGAACATTGATTTGAGAGGGATAAAATTTGCTCAGGTTGCACACGGCTACAACAAATTTCTCCCCCTGTGGCATTGTGGTGAGCTGAAGGATAGGCTGAGCTGCAAAGAGAGGAAGGAAATTTGAAGTCCTGCATCTAATAGGCCAGTGTTTCCCAACCTTGACAACTTGAAGATGGGTGGACTTCAATTCCCAGAATTCCTCAGCCAGCCAGCTGCCAAGGTTGAGAAACACTACAATAGACAATTCCCAACTCCTTGAAGCCAGTCTTGGACCCACCTGGGATTACAGATACAACCCTTTATTTAGTGACCATTTGAAGTTACAGTGGCAATGAAAAAAGTGAGAAATGACTGTTTTTCACACTTACAACCATTACAGCATCCTGATGGACACATGATCAAAATTCAGATGATGCTTAGCAAGGCATGTGTTTTATGACTGTTGCAGTGTCACAGAGTCATGCGATTGTATTTGGGACCTTCTGACAAGCAAAATTAGAGGGGAATTTAGATTCACTTCACAATCATGTTACTAATTTAACAATTGCAGTGATTCATTTAACCAGAACAGTGGTGGGATTCAAAAAAATTTACTACTGGTCCAATGAAGGGAGGAGGATTTGCTTTGCCCAATTGGGAATTATATTACCAGGTGACGAGTTTGATGTGGGTAAAGGAGTGGATATCATTAAGGAATATTAGACTGTTGAATTTAGAAGGACATGACTTGCTGCTAGGGTGGCATGCCTTCCTCTGGTATAAGGGAACTAAAACGCAGGGGTATTTTAGAAGACATTATATTCGAGAAGCATTGTTTTTAAACTTGGAGAAGATAAAAAAGCAATATTACCTAAAAATTTCACTATGGTTATCTACTATTGAAGCTTTTTCTTATCCAATAATATATAAAAAGGAACAAACAGTTAGATATGATGAGATATTGAATGAAAAGGGTGAACTTAAATCTATGCAAGCGTTGGAAGAACAAGGTGTAAAAATGAATTGGTTTTCATATTTGATAAAGATATTAAAACAGAAGGTATCTATGATAAGTTGACCAATTTAGATAAAATTTTGACAGGTACTGATGAAAAAGTAATTAAAAAACTTTATGGACATTTATTGGAGTTTAAATTAGAGGAAGAACAAGTTAAAGTAACAATGATTGCGTGGGGGAAAAATTTTGGATATGGGATTGATTTAAATAAATGGCAAAAACTGTGGTCTCAAAATTATAAAATGACAATGTCAACTGCATATAAAGAAAATTTGTATAAGATGTTTTACAGGTGGCACTTACCCCCGACTAGAATTGTGAGAATGTTCAAGAATAAATCGGATAAATGTTGGAAATGTCATCAGATACTTGGCTCATATTACCATATGTGGTGGACATGCTTGGATGCAAAAAGATATTGGACTAAAATCCACGCATGGTTGGAAAAAATGATAAAACAACACATAGACTTTAAACCTGAGGTATTTTTATTGGGAATTATACCGGAAATATATAGTAAAGAATTGAAATACTTGATTGTAAATGTTTTAACAGTGGCTAGAATTGTATTTGCTAAGAATTGGAAAAATGAAAAAATACCTATGCAGGAGGAAATTATTAAGAAAATCATGGACTGTGCTGAAATGAGTAAATTGACATTTGAAATCAGAGAAGAAGACATTTTTATATGATATGGGATTTATCAATGGTTAGATAAAAAGACATGATAAAGAAACAGACTAGGAAGCTTTACAATAAAAAGTTAATAGATTGATATAGAATACAATATAAAATATATAACCATTGGGTGAATGTATAAGATTAAATTATAATGAAATTTAGAATATCTCATATAGAATGATGAAAAAATAGTTTAGTCAAATGAATGATTAATTATTGATATTATATAAGTACATGTTAGATTGATAAGGTGAGAATTTATACAACTTGTGAGTAATGCTAAAAAAAAGGAGAGCACAAAAGGTTGTAACCAACTGGCACACTGTATGTATATAATTGAAAGATGGTTTTATGCTTTTATGTTTTGTTTGTATATTTGTTGTAAAAAATAAAAACTTTAAAAAAATTTTTTTTACTACTGGTTCTGTGGATGTGGCTTGGTGGGCGTGGCAGGGGTAGGATACTGTAAAATCCTCATTCCCTCCCCATCCCACTAACCTGCTTTCCAGCTCAATTCTCCTGTGCAGGGCAGCAAAAGAAGACCCAGATGATCAGCTGGGACTTGGGAGGCAGAGAATAGATGGGGGCGGGGCCAGTCAGAAGTGGTATTCCGAACAACTCAAAATTTCCGCTACCGGTTCTCCAGAACTGGTCAGAACCTGCTGAATACCACCTCTGAGTTCCCAACACCTGGTCTGTAGACCAGCACCGGTCCATGGCATACCAGCAGCTCGGCCACACAAACAAGCAAAGCACCATTCGCAGAATGCAGGCAGCATGCAAAGCAAAGCCCTCTCCGGTCCGTAGAAAAAACTTTCTCCACGGAATTGGACCCTGGTGCCCAAAAGGTTGGGGGCTGCTGCACTTAACAACTATGGAAAAAAAGGTTTAAAATCAGGGGAAATTAACAACTGTCTTGCACAGTAACATAAATTTTAGGATCAATTGTGGTCATAAGTCAAGGACTACCTGTGTTTTTGTGACAGCTGCTGTGTGAACTAGGGTGAGTTGATATCGGTTTGTTTTAGCTGCCAATCAGGGAACACCAAAATCAGTTTCCAGCTACTGACTGTCCCCCTCTTCCATCTAAAATCTGTTCCATCTAAAACAGTGTTTCTTAAATTTGGCAACTTTAAGATGCTTGTACAGATAGTCTTCAACTTATGAATGTAATTGAGCCAAAAATATCTGTTGTTAAGTGAAACAGTTGTTAAGTGAATTTTGCCCCATTTTATGACTTTTTTTGCCAAAATTGTTGAGTGAATCACTGCAGTGATTAAGTTAGTAACATGGTTGTTAAGTGATATCTGGCTTCCCCATTGACTCTGCTTATCGGAACTTTGCAAAAGATGATCACATGATCCTGGGACATTGCAATAAATCTCATAAATTCGAGTCAGTTGCCTAACATCCAAATTTTGGTCACATGGTCATGGGGATTCTGCAACAGTTGTCGGTGAAAAAAAATGGTTATTCAGTCAGGTTCTTAAGTGCTGTTGTGAGGGCGGCGGAGGAGATGAGAGCAGCAGGCAAGTAGGCAAGTAGTTTAACCAAGATCAAATTAACCTATTCTAATTATTACCTGCTTTTAAGGCTATTTTTCTATCATATCTTAGTCTTCAAATTTTTATTTTTAAACCCTTTACATTTTTGCAGTGTGATCACTAAACCACTTCTAGCTATATTTCAGCTTCGGATTAGCTGTATTTTTTTAAAAAAAGCTTGAGCTGGGCCTCAGCTATAGGAGGGCCTTGCTGCTTCTTCTTTGTTGTTGTCCTAAAGATCTTCCTCCTTTAGCTGGAAGTCTAGCAATGCCTAGCTTTGATGTGATTTCTCTTATCTGATTTATTCTATTTTTATCCACTATTTTAATTTTTTTATCATTTTTATTTACTCATGTTCCCTGCTCTGTCGGGAGGGCAGGATCCTTGGTATACTTGTGAGGAGCTCTGCCACTGTTCGCATTAGGACTCGTTTCTCCTCGACTCCCGATTCCTTTTCCTCTGGATTTAGGACTTGTTTCAGTGACTAGACTCTATGCACAGCTCCTCCTCTATTGTGCTACTGAATATAATGAAGACAAGGAAAAGGAGCAGATCTCTCACTGATCAGGTTCCTCAACCTTCTCTGAAGCAATCCAAGATTGAGGACTTTGTTTTAGCTCGGCCTCTCGGTTTGAAAGCTCCTGCTCCCTTTTGTCTGGCTGCTGCAGGTTGTCGCGATCTTCAGATGGTTGAAGGCGTCGCCCCCCCCCCCCAGTTGAGAACAAAAGCGTATCTAAAACTACGGCCCCCAACCAATCCTTAAATGAGCCCACCCTTACAGAACTTTTGGCTCAGCAATGTTTCTTGGTTGCAGAAACTACAGCGAGCATTCAGCTCCAGCTTGATAAAATATTAAGTACTTTAAACTACTTAGTTTCCTGGACTACCAGTGGGTGCCCTGGGTTGGCTGCTCGGCAGCCTGATGCAGCGGCAGGGTCGTCCCTGCCAAGCCTCAGCAAAAGCACTGCTCAACATAATCCTACCAATAGTTCGAACTTTACATCTTTTGACGCAGACAGTCACCTGGTCTTACAGTCAAAACAGGTGGCCCTCATCATTAATCCCATTAATGGCAACTTACCTCACTGGGGTTCAACACAGCTGGCGAGGGGCCATATATTCCAGTTATTGGGGCTAAAAGCTGATGATTTGAAGAAGGTTGAACTTTTATCCTCTCCTGAATACTGCACTAGAGTGCTACTCAGTTTTGACAACTCCCCAAAACTATTTTTCAGAAGAGGATCCCTGTTAAGATCCTTCGGGATTCTGCCAAGAAGAGTCTTCAAAGATATATCGATTAAGCCACTCTTGAGTAATCGACAATTTGTGAGTGGCAGAAGATTTATTGCCCCCAAAAGATCCTCAGCAGCACATATTAATGTGCCAACCTTGAATGCCATCTCGGATACTACATCACATACTAATTATACACCTATTCCCGCAAAACCTCCAGTTGGCGTCCTCTCAGATGGTATCCTGACTGTTCCTCCTACAACCGGTCAAATTAACCCCCCGCAACGAGTAACATCTTACCAGGAAGCTTCCTTTGACTTGATCAGCTGGGAAAAAAATGGCCCCAAAGGAAGCGACACCAGCCCAGGGCACTCAAAGTTCCTTAGTAAATAAGCCCCAGGTGAGTGCCTCTGGGATTCCATCTATTTATGAGACTGACTTATGTCAAGACAATTTCTGGAACCAAGAGGAGACACAGCTCTTCGACTCCTTTTGTGCGCTTCCACAACCAGGAAGGGCCCAAATCATAAAGCGTCTGGATGCAGTTAAATCCAAGCTCTGGAGTCTTTCACTACCTGAGAAGGATTCCCTTGGACTCCAGGGTGTCTCTACTGATTTACCAACGGAAGCTCCCTTGGCGCTCT